ATAAGTGGAGCGAAACTTAACGATACAGGCTTCAGCCTATGGCCTATTCTTGTGGCGCCTTCAGTATGCCGTGCACTATTGTACCTTTGTGTTTGCGTAACTGTGTGTTTGTGCGTGGGATTCATGTTTGCTGTGGGGTTTGTTTGAAACATCGCTTACCCTCATCAATCTGCCTCTTCACTGGTGAACTTAAGCTGCATTGTCAGTAAGCAGATGTTCACAGTTTTTTATAAAACACTTTGGAAATGATATCTAATCATGGATCACTTCTTATGTTTTAAGTAGAATTCAGTGTATGGGGCACTGATCTTGTCCTCTACATCTAAGACAGGTGTAATGGTTTTCAGATATCAGAGTTTTAAAGTAGTACCTAGTGTGGCTCAGGTCGAACTTGATTCGGTTTATCGCATTTTCATTAATGGTTGGTTCCAAGGGAGCTAAATGGGGTTGACGCCAGAAAGCTGGGAACTTTTTGGTTTTCAGCACCGGACCTGACCCGGGTCGAGCCTCGGATCGAGGAGGAACAGTGTGGTTTTCGTCCTGGCCGTGGAACGCTGGACCAGCTCTATACCCTCAGCGGGGTCCTAGAGGGTGCATGGGAGTTCGCTCAACCAGTCCACATGTGTTTTGTGGACTTGGAGAAGGCGTTCGACTGTGTCCCTCGGGGTATCCTGTGGGGGGTGCTCCGGGAGTATGGGGTACCTGGCCCTTTGTTACGGGCTGTTCGGTCCCTGTACGACCGGAGTCAGAGTCTGGTTCGCATTGCCGGTAGTAAGTCGGACTTGTTTCCGGTGAGAGTTGGACTCCGCCAAGGCTGCCCTATGTCTCCGGTCCTGTTCATAACTTTTATGGACAGGATTTCTAGGCGCAGCCGAGGTGTTGAGGGTGTCAGTCTTGGTGGCCTTAGGGTCGCATCTCTGCTTTTTGCAGATGATGTGGTCCTGTTGGCTTCATCAAGTCGGGACCTACAGCTCTCGCTGGACCCGCTGGAGGGACTATGTGTCCCGGCTGGCCTGGGAACGCCTCGGGATCCCCCCGGAGGAGCTGGCTGAAGTGGCCGGGGAGAGGGAAGTCTGGGTTTCCCTGCTCCGGCTGCTGCCCCCGCGACCCGACCCCGGATAAGCGGTGGACAATGGATGGATGGATGGATGATGTTGCTGTTACCTTATCTTAATATAACCAATTTAAAAACTGGTTACAGTTTAAAAACACGTGGTCCAGACATCTGGTCTTTTCTGTGGAAGGCTTTATACATGTACCAAGTCGTCAGTTCAGCTTCTTATAGACAAAATATTTAAACTAGTTTGGTTTCACTTCTCCTTCAATACATGACAAAAGAACATTGCAAGATATGATACAGGAGTCTTGTGATTGGCTTACATGAAATTGTATTTTCTGAAAGACCTCTAGCTCTGATGCACTGGAAATAAAATCAAATGATTTAACAAATTGTGATTTTTTTTAAAAAATAAAACTTGAATGACTGCAAAAAAACGGGAAGGTGGAGTGAATCCTCGTACATGTCACAACACTGTCATTAGAAACAAGAATGATGATTGCTTCCACATTTGACCGCCTTATTTGGTGTTAAATGTTCACATGTTCATTCTCATTGCAATAAAATCCCTGAGGTGCTCGTTGCCCTTCTTTGGTCCCACCACATCTGCTTTTATTAGGCCCACATGGCAGTTTATGAGCATCCAGGAAATCACAGAGTCCAGCAAGAGCAGCCACTGTTTTCCTGTCATGATAGGTGTGTCTGCACCTATGCAAGTGGAAAGAAAAACTAACTGATAATGTTTAACAAGACTATCAGAGCATCGAGACACACCGATTGAGGATTGTTCAAGAAAGGTTTGTCTATCTCACATTTAATTAGAAAAATTATCAAGAATGTTTTTATGTTGAACGTTGGGATTATTGCTGTTGATTCTGCCAAACTGTTGACAGTTTTAGTTAGGTATCTAAAGTAAAACTCAGAGAAACAAAACCAAAAACCTCCCCCGGCTTATGTTTTGGGGTGATGCCGCATTTGCTGAGCATCGGAGGTAGGTACTGCTTGTTCCTCAGGCTTCTTGCTTTGCTATTGACACTGAATCTGATCTTCAGTTGAACAGCTCTCTCCAATGTTGCCATTAAGTAACGTTTTATCAACTTTAGTGGGCGTGCACTTCAGTTAAACCTGAGATACACGGGTGGTTCCTAAGCAAACAAACTAGCACACTAAGGCCTTTCGAATAGTCTCCCAAATGAAGACGTTCATTAATAATTCACTGATTTAAAAAAAATCAATTGGGTGACAGACAAAAATATAGATTTTTTTTCCCCAGTTTTTGGATTCTGCTAATGATGGCAAACTGCTGAAGAGGATTCTTGTGTGGATGGTATTTTATACAAAACAGAGGACGGACCCAGGTTCTATAGAAGAATGATTAAAAGAGGAGACATTAAGATGTCGGAGCCTCCCGGGTGCTGCATATGTCTGGATGAGATCACCACCCCTGCCTCCCTCCCCTGCGGACACTGCTTCTGCCTTGTGTGCATTGGGGAATATTGGCGGATCCATGACTCCTGTCAGTGCCCTCTCTGTAAAGCAGGCTTCCCTGACAGGACGCGGCTTCAAACCGGCCAGGCTCCTCAGACCCAGGACGCCGCCGCGCCTCTGAAGGCAGGGGCCTGCGGTCAAGTCCTGCCTGCGGTGCCTGGCCTCGTACTGCGCCGCCCATCTGGAGCCGCACTACCGGAGCGACGCGCTGGGACGTCACCTTCTGATCGGCGTGGCCAAGAACCTGGAGGACTCGGTGTGCAGGCTCCACGGGAGGAGGCTGGAGCGCTTCTGCAAGAGCGACCAAACCTGCATTTGCACCAAGTGTGCTCGGACAGAGCACAGGGGTCACCGCATCTGTTAGCCAAGAAGCCGCAAAGAACAAGGTAAAGTGGAAGAAAAGTGCCACACGAGGACGACACGCCTGTATAAAAGCTTCCAAGAAAGTCATTTGACCATCACTGTGGCTTCTTAAGCGTTCTGGTTTCTGCTTCAGTTCGAATAGGTATGTGTTGTGGGAACTTCAACATTCCCAAGCCTTTGACGTGTGTGATCCTAAAACTGGAATCCTCCAATCTTCTGCTGAAAGAGCTGGTGGGATATCTGCTCGCAATGGTGTAGCGGTCCACCGTTTCTGATCACTTCGTGCTTGTCTTTCCTCGTAAGACTCAAAGACACATGAGGAATGTGAAAGGGAAGCCTCCTTTTTTCATGCTGCATAGCTAAGAGATTTCAAAGGACATCAGTTACTACAACGTACGTGGTCTTAACTGAGAGGGAAAAACAAACGTAACACAAGAATTATAAAAAATGTTGGCGTTGCTTAAGGCAAAATGCCATAGCGGACTGAACAGTGCCATACAAAACACAAGATTTATGAGGAGGAATGTCTATCGTGAGGAAGGAGCAAAGGTCTCGGTGTCAGCGCTGGTGTCAATCAGCTGTAAAAGCCATAAACTGCCCTCATTACGACACACACACATCGGGCTGTAAACACAGATAACCCTGAGAGCCCCGTTCCTCTGTTCATCCACAGGTTAAGCTCAATCACAGGCGGCTAAAACTTAAGCAGGAGATTCAGCAGAGACTGGGGCAGGTGGAGAAAATGAAGCTCTCGACAGCGGCGCGGACCCAGAACGGTGAGCTCGCCCGACAGCTGGAAGAGGAGCTGGAGAGGCTCTCACACACTGAAGACAGCCCACACAGCTTTTTCGGTCTTCTAAAACTTCTACGCTTCCCTGTGTGAGCTGTAGGCCGCATAAGGGCAGAAATACTATATATTATTTATGGCTTTCTTGATTTTCCTGTGGAGATAAGACTTCAGAATGAGCACTTCCAGAATTTCAGTGGACAGCCATGAGTAAAATGAACTCAATGAAGTGTCATGAAAAAATATGAAAATAACAAGAGAAAGAATAAATAAATACATTTAGGTGGCATTTGATTGGTGACATAGTAGGAAGTTGCTCCCATAGTCAGTAGACTTCTGCCCAGGCCGATATATTGGAGATAAGTCCGCATAAGCATGGACACAGTGGAAGGCTGGACTTCAGCAACTCAAAAGTGTTTTTTTCACTTTTGAATCCGGTGTCCAGAGACCCCTTCTTCCAACCTTTTGGACTCGTTTATGAAGAGCGGTGGCAAACTTGACAAAAGGCCTCCATTATCCGCTGGTAGCCAATGTCAGAGTAACTGTATGACAAGGAAAAACAAAAAGCGGAATTTACGTATTGTGAGTACGGATGTTCCTTGTTTTTCATAGTTATCGGGGAGTTACTAAACTGTCAATGCCATATGTTGTTTTATGCGGATGTATATTTGCGTGTGAGTAAAAACAACTTGAAGCAAAGTTTTCTTTCCTTGTCATAGTTTTTTTTACGATGCTTTTATCTCACAAATGGGAAATGAAACTGAAGAGACTGTGCACCCACTGAGCCTAAGATACAAACAGTTTTCAAAGGGAATAAAACACAGGTTTGTGCATAGAGTGCTTTGTGAGCACCATCTGACCTCGAATTGTGTTGACTATTTGATCTGTTGCGCAACAGTGATACTGCCCCGAGGCAAGCAAACGTGATTTGACTGCACATTTCATTACCACCCTGTCTATTTGACTACAGGAAGAAGCACTGACGTAGACTTCTGAACTGAAACGAAACTTAACACAGAGAAAAGGACACACACAGAGACACACACACACATACTGTAGCTGGAAGGAGAGAAACAGAGAAGGCTGACTCCTTTGATAATCGACCACTTCAGGATCCAGAAGGTAATAATTCCACACTTTTCTTATAATACAAGTTCATTTTGCTTTACATTTTGCATCTTGAGAAGGCGTTAATGACAAACATCAGCCTGTACATATATTATTTTACAGTTCCACAGGTTCCACTGCTAGTAACCATTAACTCTGCAATCAAAGACAGTAGGTTTTAAAATATGTGGCAACAGCTTTGCTTTTGCAGATTAATGTTTACAGACGCTTTTCTCTCAATTAATCGATTCACATATTAATTTTGGTAAAAGTTTCACTATATTTTACTACTAGAAAGAAAAAACATTGAAAGGGTTAAAAGTTTACAGACTTACATATTTGATATACTGACTCTCAAAGAACACAATCCCAGTTGCATTATTTAACACATGGTTAAATCATGATTCCAAGAGAAAACTGCTACCGGTTCAGAGGAAACAGGACTGTGTGGATTTTCCATTTCTAAGTTCACAGAAGAAGTTGTAAAAGAGACAAAATGTTGATTAAAAAAGAAAAACTAAATAAGACCTTTACCATAAAGTTCAGAAGATCAATCAGGTGACTGGAAACACTCTTTAAGACCCCTCTGGACCTAAGGAAGGATATAATCGCATTTATGACTTTTTTTAAAATCATCAACATTTGTCACTTTCTCTTTCCTGGATGTCCACCACAGTTGTTGTTATTCTGTCCTCAATTCGAAAAAATGGTTGCTGTAATATTTTCAAAGCAGGTGACCTTGTTGTGCTGTCTTTCGCCAGACATGGCTTCCAGTTCCAATTCCCCCGGTGACTCGGGCTCACTTCAGAGGCATCTCAGCTGCTCCGTCTGCATCGAGACCTTTAAAGATCCCGTCACCACAGCTTGTGGTCACACCTTCTGCAGGAAATGCCTGGACCTTCACATCGAACACGCTTCGTCCTCGTGCCCCCTTTGCAAAACGCATTTGAACAAAGCCCCAAGTGTGAACATCGTGCTCAGAGACATCATCCAACTGAACAACAAGCCGAGACGCCCACCTCCCAATGTGTTCACCGGGGCTCCCGGAGGGGTGAAATGTGACGTCTGCACAGAGCCCAATCTGAAGGCTGAGAAGTCCTGCCTCGTGTGTCTGGCCTCCTACTGTTCAACACACATCCAGAATCATTATTCAGCGGAAAGGCTGAAGGGCCACAAGCTGATGGAACCAGTGGGGGACATGGACGCAAGGGCCTGTTTGATCCACGGCCGTCCCCTTGAGCTGTTCAGCAGGAGCCAGCAGAAATGTGTCTGTGTTCAGTGCATTGACAGGCAGGAGGAAGTGGTCTCAGCCAAGGAGGAATGCCAGGCAAAGAAGGTGTGGTGTCATACAGTTCAAATCCAGTTGTGCATGTGTGAATTCCGACATTCCTGTTTATCTAAGTCAAAGTAGCTGAAAGATAACCAAATTAATTCAAGATTATTATTTTTTTACAGAATCTCCAAATAAGATTTTCTGACATGTCTTTTTTTGTTTTCAATAGGCTCAACTTGATGACATCAAGACAGATTTTCAGCAGAAAATCAGGGAAAGAAGAGCAAAAATGGAAGAGATCAACACAGCTTTGAGGAGCTGCAAGGTAAGCTGCAAAAGAGGGAAGTTCTTCTGTATAAGTTCATACACTGTAAAACAAAACTGTAACACATACATATATTTTAAACCTTCCATTTATGGAAAACATTTATATTCCATAATTATAATTCTTGTCACAGCGGTGTAGTCAAGTTGGGTTTTTTTCATTTCCTGTTTTATTTTGATAAGTAATCCTCCTCTGGTTTCAGGTCACTTGCACTCCCCTGTGTGTCATCTGTCCAATTGTCTTCCCTGATCACTGTTTGTGTTCATCTGGAGTTCCTTTCCCTTCATGTGTTAAATAGTCTGCGTTTCCCCTTGTCTTGTGCCGGTGTGTTTTGTCTTTCGACCCAAACTGAGCGTGAACCTTGTCCTTTAACCAAACCTTGTATTGAACCCTTCCTTGTGTTTCCTCGTCAGAGTGAGTTTATATTTGTACAGTTATAGCCTTTGGCTTCCTGGTTCCAGAGTTAATATTATTCGATACTTTGTTCATAGCTTTGTCTGCCTCGTTTTCAAGAGTGATTTTTATTTTGTACTTTGCCCTGCCTTTCCACTCCCAGCGAGTGCACCTTTATTTATATGAAAGTTTTTGCATGAAGATCTCTGCATCTGAGTCCTGCCTTAAGTCCCATTCTGACAACTCTATAATTTTACTTCCATGACTCTATGGTTTTCAAGCTTTTTTAAATATGAAACATTGATCTGTTTAATTTGTGTGCACCTCACACCATGATGGTTCTTTCTAGGAAGGTTACAAGTGCAACCAGAGAAAGTAAAAAAACACTTTTTACTGGTTTTCAGGACCAGCTGGAGAGTGAGTGGTGGTAAATTGACAATGTGTTCCAAGCTGTGCTGACTATAGTGGAGGCTGCGCAGAAGGCCATAGTGAAGCCGTTGGAGGAGAGGAGGCGCTCACTGGAAATGGAAGCAAAAGGCCACAGCAAGAAGCTGAAAGCTGAAATAAAAAGACTTCCAAGTCCGAAATTAACGACTTCTCTGCGCTGGAGGACCACATCCTGTTCTTACAGGTGGGAGAGAACGTTCACCATCCCCCGTGCTTCTTCGCTCGCTTTCATCTGGGAACGTCTTCTTTGCCATTCAGTGTTGTTGGAAACGCCTTTCTGTCTGATACTCAGAGGTTCCCGTCAGTTGCAGTCCACAGTGACATCATGGACTGGACAGGGGTCAAGCTCGACACGTCACTGTCGTTTGGCACCATGATAAAAACTACAACAGTGGCGATGGAAAAAATTCAACAAGAGCTTGACAAATTGTCTTCTATAGGTAGGTAATTCAAAAGAAGAAAAGAGTACAGTGTTTTTTTTTAAAGACATAATTCATATTTATTTATACTTAACTCCACAGAGCTGAGGAGAGTCCCAAAGTTTACAGGTAGATGGACATCTTAACGTTTTTTTCTCATCACTGAGAAGCCATTTTATTCCAATCAATTTTTCTTTTGGTTCAATAGTGGACGTCAAACTGGATCCGGCCACCGCTCACAAACGCCTCGTTGTTTCTGACGACGGCAAAGAAGTGAAGGATGGGGGAGAGGAGCAGGGATTGGAAGATTCCCCTGCCAGGTTCGACCTGTTCGGCAGCGTCCTGGGGCTCAGCAGCTTCTCCTCCGGGAAGTCGTACTGGGAGGTGGAGGTCGGAGACAAGACGGGGTGGGATCTGGGTGTGGTGAGAGGAAGCAGCAGCCGCAGAGGGAAGCTGAAGGTGAACCCCGATAACGGCTACTGGGCTCTGGTTCATTACGAAGAGGAGAACTACGCCGCCATGACGGAGCCACCCCTTCGTCTCTCCCCCAGAGCAAAGCCAAAGAAGGTGGGCGTGTTTGTGGACTACGAGGAGGGTCTGGTCTCCTTCTACGACGTGACGGCTCGGTCTCACATCTACTCCTTCCATAAGTGCTCATTCACCGATGAGCTTTACCCGTATTTCAGTCCACACGTGAAGCAGGACGAGAAAAACTTCGAGCCGTTGGTTATTTCTGCTGAGAAACATTCTGAAAGTGAAGTGGAAAGGGAGCAGATTGATGCGAGTTCTAGCTCTGTGTAGTTGGAGTGCTAAATTTTAGGCGTCCAGCTCCACATTAAGTTGAAATAACTCAATCTTCAGGCAATTAACTTTTTCTTATTTTTCACGTTAAGACCGATGGTCCAAATCCTTTTTACGTTTGACTAAGTTGTTTCGAAAGTATAAATATTTCCTCTTTCCAACTTTACTTGTCATTTTACTAATGAAATCTGGTGTTACCAAATGTTTTTCTAGCTTTCATACTGGGCACAAGATAGACTTATTTACTCAAATATCTCAGACTATTTACAAAGAAGACTAAAATGGGATCAGTATAAACCACAACAAATACACTGCTAGAGGAACTCTATGTGTATATTATAGAGAAATAAGATACATATATTAGAGATGGACACATGAGACAGGTTTTAATATTAGTGGAGATGGGAAATGTGGAATATTTTCACTCCATATTTCTAAAGCACCGTTTCAAAATGTTTGTTGGCATGAGATGAATAAAAAAAAAAGGGAAGCATTCAAGTAAACAAACCCAAAGAGCCTGAATAATTGTCTGAATAAGAACCACAAAAAGCTGAATTTGTGTAACTTTTGCAATGGTGGATAATTTTCTTTGTTTTCCGATTTGAGAGGGGACTCATTAAACTGTCAAAGCCCTGTGTTGTTTTCTGCTAGTTTATGGAAGAGGCGTGAGCAAACACTACTTAATTCAAACAGACTGAACCTCCTGAGACCCAGCGTCCTAGTATGAGCTTTTATATACATGCCAGATACTTAATTCATTTTTTTGTTCAACTTTGGTATGCTGACCTCACAGTAGACACCATCAGACTCTGATATTTTTAATAAAAAATACTTTTTCATATATATATGAATCTATGGGGTGGCACAGTGGTCAGCACCATGGCCTCACAGCGACAAGTGGAGAACATGAACAAGGGGTTGACTTAGTTTTCACTGACACTAATACAGTTATTGCTTTGTTGAAAAAGTGATTCTTAAATTTTCCGGTTATATCCAGGGTGCTGTTTGACTTTAAAGTTATTCATCTTTTGCATCTTTCATAGTAGGCAGGACTATTTATAATGAACGGCTCCCAAAAGTACAGGAAAAGAACAGGATCAGAATACGCTGGCATCCACCACAGATGTTTTTAACAAAATTTACATTGGTCACTCTTGGTTCCTTGTATCTCTGTAAATTTCACAGCTCTTAAAGCTTTCAATTTTACTTTTCAAGTGCCTGAATTGTGTCTGCAGAGTGTAACTTTGCCAGTTCTGGTTTAGTCAGGTTGACAACTCATTTGTCTGCATGATTCAACAACACGTCTGTTCTAAAGTTTAAAAAACTTAGAGAATATTAAAGGTTTGCTGGAATAACCCCTGGATAGCCCCTGTTACAAAGTCTAAAAGCATCTGTGCTCATCATGGGCATGTCATGGTATTTTGATATTTGGGAATGCACAATAAGTTTCTTGGGAGCTTCCTCAAATCATGAAACTGGCCTTTGAAAGTCATTTTCTATCTAACGCATTTATTTCTCTATGAAAAATGGCATGTTTCTTCGCTTCCCGTGATGACTCATTTTATGTCTTGCAGAGAAAAAAAGTGTTTATGCGAAAACTGTAAGGTGAGGAATCCCGTCTGATCCGTTGCGGTCTTTTATGGCGATGTGGTTTGATTCGTGACGGCGTTGTAACGGTGCGTGAATGTAGGGAGATTTTTTTGGGGCTTGGTAGCGGAGTTGTAGATGCTTAGGTTTCTATTTAGGCATTACAAAGAGCCTATCATCCATAGATACATTCATTTTGAAGGGCAAGCTCTCAGTTCCATGCGTCTGGCTGCAATGTGCGCTTGTTGTAGCGCTTTTTCCAGTTAATAACGCCTTCATTATTTGGGGTTATTGCGTGTTTTTCTTTCTTTCTTTCTTTCTTTCTTTCTTTCTTTCTTTCATTCTTACTAAATCCATATAGTAATAAGACTAAGACCAAAGTCTTAAAGAACTGGGTTTTTCAGTTGGAGGAAAGTCATGTTTAGGCTCAAGAAATTGTGGTTTTCACTCTCATCTCTTCACATAATCCAAAATTTTCGACCACACCCATGTTGGCTCAGTGTCTTTTGCTGTGCTTAGGAATGCAAATCAACTATTTAATGTGTTCTCTGCCCGTTGTTTTTACTTATTTTCTTCTTTTTTCTCTGTTTTTATTCAAGTAACCCTTTTAAAACAGAAAAATAAAGATGGCCTGTTTTAACATCAGAGAGTCTGGAGACCTGGGAAAAACGACCTTATTGTCTTGTCTGTGTAGCTGAATAAAATTCAAGTTGTCTGGAAGCGGAAGTTATCAGAGAAAGGCAGCCAAAATGCCAAACTCTGATGTCGACCCGGAGTTTAATGTTTAAGGTGTGGCGGTTGTCTGTTTTCTTGTGCGCAGACATGAGCCTCCAGGTGTGCCACTTATGTGGCTGGTCCAAAGTGACCACCTACCGGGGCTTGAGGATCCACCAGAGCAGAATGGGTTGCACGCCGAAGGGTGCGAGGGTTGCGGATCCCGAGCATCAGCGTCTGCAGGGTAGGATTTTCAAATGGCGCGTTTAGTTGGGATTTGCTACACTCCAGCCAGTGGCTGATTTATGAAATATCTTTTGAAATATGTCTTTGACAGAGGCCGATGCCTACGACCCGGACCTGAGCCTCTGGGTTTGCCAATACTGTGGCTGGAGGAATGTGACGACCTATCGGGGGTTGAGAATTCACCAGGGGAGGATGGGCTGTACTCCAAAGGGAGTGAGAATCCCTAGAGCCGAGCATTATCACCAGGAATACCTCTGGATAGAACTGAGGCCACAACCTCAAGCGAAGGAACAGGTGAAAACAAATCTAAAATCTACGTGGCTCCAAGGGCGACAGCTAGCCAGTGATTTTTTTCTTATGGATGTTACAGGATTTTCGAGAGCCCCCACAGCCGAGCAGACCCCGCGGATCGGCGGCGGCCCAGACGGCGGCCCAGGCTGCTGCCCAGGCGGAAGTATGGAGTGGATCGGGTAGGTTTCGTGTTGAAATCCAGCCAGGAAAGGATCCTGCTGAGCGGTCTGACCGTGTCCTTCTTCGCAGCGGCGTCTGCAGCTCCTCGCCGCTACTCCCTCGGATCGGCCAGCCCAGATGGAGGCCGCCGGCTGGAGGAGTTCTCCAAACGTCCACTGGTGGGTCAAAGACGCAAACAAGCCCTGTTGCTCCAGCGTAAGTCTGAAAATTTGAACAAAGCTCTTTCAGGTGGACAGACCTGTCTGGGAGCCTTCGAGAGCTGCTGCTGCTGACCCCACATGTGCAGTCCGAGCCAAAAAGAAAAACACAAAGCACCAGACGTCACCACGGGTATCTCATTTGTGGGTGTTTTTCTCATACTCTTAAAGTGTTTTACTTACTTTTCGCTCTTTTATTTTTGTAGAAAACGTACAGCGGAACCGTGGAGGAGCTCGAGCCATGTAGGTTCAACGAGGGGAAAAGCTATGTATTTGTGGTGTAATTATACAAACCAGGGTTAAATCTCTTCTTTTGTTGCAGCGTCTGGGAGCCCAGAGGCGTCTGCCCGGAGAGCCTCAGTGGCGGCACCAGTTCAGCAGCCGCAGGGCCTTGCTGCCGTCCAGGTAAAGGTCGGAATGAGTCCGGATTCCACTGTTACCGATGAACTGGAACAACCTTTTTAGGCAAAAAGACAGACGGCGGGGCCCCCGGCTGATCCGTCAGTCCGACCCAAAGAGAGAGACAGGCGCCATCAGACACTCCCACAGGTGATTCAGTTCAAGATTGACGATTCAAAAAAGCTTTATTTTCCCACGAGGGAATCCGCTAGGCCACACTTCTACTAAAGTAGTTGGCAGTTGATTAAAGTGACCACAAAACACAAGAAATAAGTAACAAACAGAGAAATGAAAATGATAAAGTGGCTCAGGACACAGTATCTACGCTGATCCTGTCTTGGTAGGAAGCTAAATTCATTAAAGTCATCAGGGTTCCATAAATGTCTTTTCGCTTTTGGGGGGTTTCTTGAGATTTTTCTGAATCCTGCACCTATCTATGTTTATGTGTATGCATTTAGAAGACGATTTTATCCAAAGCTACTTACAAAGTAGACACAATTTTACAGTTATCAATATGACAATGAGTTCCCGAGAGGAAAATCACTTGTCAGAATCACTGGTGACAGTGAAGAGATAGAGGGAAGCACAGAAAGAGTAGTAGAGGGGTACAGAGGTATGGGTAAAAGTTGGGATAGGAGATGCTCTTTGAAGAGGTGGGTCTTTAAGAGTTTCCTAAAGATAGACAGGGCTTGGTAGGTCAATCCACCATCTTAGAACAACACATGAAAACAGTCTGGATTGTCTTAAGCGTGGTGTAGCACTGCTAGACGACAATCCATTGATGACCGGAGTGACCAGGTTGTGACATAAGCCTTTGCAAGAGGGTTCAAGTAGACGGGAGCCATACCCTTAAGCACGTTGAAGGCTAGCATCAGGGAATTGAATTTGATGTGGGCAGCCAGGTGGCATCTTTTTTGTAGGTGAGCAGACCAGCCAGGAACCAGCGCTCCACTCCGCCTGTGCCACCTGTGGTGCGTCCTAAGACGAGGGGCCCGGCCTCGCTCATGGAGCAGCGGGAGGGACCCCAGTGTCAGCTACTGCGAGAAATTCAGAACACCTCGCGAAGAGAAAACAAGATGGGAGACGAGGAAAATGGAGGCAAAGCCCCTGCTGAACTGGCGTCTGAAGTAAAGGTTGTTTTCATTATCTTCCTTTATTTGAATTTTGTAGGTTAGAATTTAACTGGCGGGCGGCACAGTGGTGTGGTGGTTAGCACCTCACAGCGAGAGGGTTCTGGGTTTGAGTCCCCGGGGGAACTGGGACCTTTCTGTGTCGAGTTTGCATGTTCTCCCTGTGTTTGCGTGGGTTCTCTCTGGGTTCTCCGGCTTCCTCCCACAGTCCAAAAACCTGCATGTTAGCTTGATTGGACATTCCAAATTGCCCTTAGGGGTGAGTGTGAGTGGTTTTTGGTCCTTGTGTGTCTCTGTGTGGTCCTGCAATGGATTGGCGGACCGTCCAGGGTGTACCCCGCCTCTAGCCCATTGACTACTGGGATAGGCTCCCGTCCCTCCAGCGACCCCATTAGGGAATAAGCGGTTACGAAAGTGGATGGATGGAAGTTTAACTGGCATCTTTTCAGACTAACGCATCAGCCTGGAAGCGGCTGTCGAATCCCCCCCCAGTTCCACCGAGGATAAGCCACTCCTTTTCGCTGAAGGCGAAGCGCGAGAAGTCCAAACCGCAGGTTGAGCAAGAGACTCTGAGTGTGGGAGGAAAAATGTCCACCGGGAGAAGAGACAGCAAAGAAGGTGAAGAGAGCACCTGTTAGGTGTTTCCTTTGTTCTTTTTCATTTGTCACCATTGCCAAGTAGATCACAAACATACCTGCCGCTGCTTTCGGAAAAAAAGGATCATATCCATAAGATGGTAGTTATTTTGTTACTAAATGCAGCCATGGATCGACTCAGGCGGATGCCTCTGGTGCCCGAAGTAGCTTTTGTGTGTGGTTTAAACGTCTTTTCTCCCTTCAGAGCACAGCTCAGATGCTGAGCTACCTTAACCCTCCCTTGGCAGATTATGGGGGAGAACGCTCGATCTATACTAGACCAAAGAGAAAAAGAAGAAACCTAATTCATTTACTGTTATTTCAGTGCGATTTTCATTCTTTACCGCCTTTTTCGACAGAGCGCCGGAGTTCTGTCTGCCACCCAAACACCAGCAGCACCCGCTGCCAAACACTCGGAGAAGGAGTGGGCTCCCGGTGAAAGGAGGGGGGACGCCGTCCGGGTGAGGGAGCTGGCGCAGAGGTTTTCAAGCACCGCGGCCCGAGAAAAACCAGTGGGACCGACCGGGGGGAAGAGTCGGAGGCGGATGCGGGCTCTCACAGGTAGCGTGCTTTTCCCGCTGTGCTAAGACAAGAGGTTTCAAAACAAATGCACAGAAACCCGATTTCAAAATCGGGTTTCCACCTCCTGAGAGTGGCCTTAAGAGCTGTCTCAGCAACTTTTGCCCTGATGGAAACTGCAAATGGACGCTCTGTCCAAAAATGAAAATAAATAAGCTAAGTTAGTTTAAAGTTAGAGTAAGTTATGGTACATGCTGTATCCCAGTCTCCACACCGACCGTCTCCTGCATCGCTAAGCTAATCAGAATCAGAATCAGAATCAGAAATACTTTAATAATCCCAGAGGGAAATTATTTTATTTATTATTTTATACACCTCTGTTTGCCAATAAGTGCCAATAAAACCGCCTTTTTATTGATTATTTCTTTATAATTTCTTTCTTTTTACAACTCTCTTATATAATGCATTTGTTTTATCGCTTTGTGTTATTATCTGGAGTATTTATTAAGAAGCTATCGTAGGTTTTGGGGTTGTGGAACGAATTATAGGAATTACAGTGTACTCTGATGGGAATATATGAAACAACATACGAATATTTTAACATAGTAGGTCCCGGAAAGAATTCAATTCGTATGTAGAGGTTCTACTGTGCAGTACACAGTACATTTGTTTAACCTCTCCCCCCTCTCCTTTCCCGATGTTCTTTATCTGATGTATCTGCAAAGTGGTGCACTGCAATAGGTCGATAAAGTTTATCTTAAAAGTTAATCTTTAAAAAAAAAGTTCAACCCATCCTCCACAGCCAAAGTTAACTTAACAGAAGTTTGCCCGCATGTGTTTGTTTCATTCCCAACACTCACATTATTGAATATATTTCAGGCAACGTTCCTTGATCTGAGAATCTCCGTCACGACGGGCCAGGAAACAGCAGCCCAACCAAAAGACGGGGACGGAGAGGGAGAACAGCTGCAAACGGTACGGCGACAGGGCTTATTGAGCTCAAACGTCAACCTGACACGAGGCATTTTGTCATTCACATTCCCTTTAGAGATGGTGGACCCTAACAGTTGGCTCCCTGACAGCCAGATGCTATTTATACGTATTATACTTAGCGTACAGATTGGGGTTAGTTCCTCTTTGTTGGTTTCTCTTTCCAGTTTATTGACTCTGGGCAAGGTCGAGTATACTCTACCTTTTGGGCATGAAAAAAAAAATGGGAAGAAATTAAAAACCACTAAAGAAAATAAACCTTTCCTCGGCCGTGTGTGTTTCAGGTGAAGCAGCTCGTTCGGATGTTTTCCGCCATGGAAAAGGCTTCTTTTGGAGTGGCTTCCGGAGACCGAGGCAGACGCTTGCAGGTAGGAGATGCTGTCGGACATGGCTGAGAGAGTCGTGAGGGAGCAGACCACCGGCCAATGTATTTTAAGACCCTGCCACTCAAAAAACGCATAAAGCTCTCTTGGTGTTTAAAGTGTTTGGAGAATGTGCTGAATTGAACCAGTGACGCCTAACCTGCCTGTTTCTGGCCAAAATCCAGCCGTCTGCCTCAAAAGCTGTAGCTCAAATCTCGTAGGTTTATCTTATTGTCAGGACATGTGACTTCTTTCAATCCCTATTGTTTCTCTTTTATTCCTTTTTTTTCCCTGAACAGGGTCCGAAACCGCTGCGCTCATGGAGCTCGCCACTGGGTTGAAGGTGAGACTTATTGATCACTTCCTGGGGATGAAGTACTTGTTGAGACCCCTCTTTTTTTTACGCTCATCCGCTCAACACTTGTCGCAGGTCAGGGATCTGACTCAGATGTATTCGGAGACCACGGCGTGAAGGAGCAGTCTGACCAAAGAAGAGGCAGAGAAATTGAGAAAAAAAGGGGGCAGGCCTACATAAAACCTCCTCTCGAAAAGGAGAAAAACGACCCATAACTCTTCTGCTTTCACTGTTCCACACTGTCCGTGTGCAAACCTTTTTTGCCTTAAAAATGTCCCATGCTGTTAGGATCGGCTTATATTTGCTAGCTTTAGAGTTTTATTTTATTTCTGGATTGCATGTTTTGTTCATTTTAAGAATGCTCCGACGCTGGGCTCATGTTGTGTCTGTGGTTGTATTCCCAAGTTCCTCTTCTTTCTACGAGACATTAGATATTCGTCTTCAAGGACACACATTTCTTATCACATCTCAGTGGAACCTGCATGGATTAGGACCTTGCCCTAATCAGGTCAGAGGGGTCTATTTGGATCCAGCCTTCCTGCTGTACAGGGCAGGCCCAGCCCAAGAAGATAGATGTCCATCAAACCCGGAAATCTGGGCTCTTTATAAGAATCGGGCTAAGAAACTGACTTGTTGGGGGTTAATTAGAAACAATCTGTGCACATTCGGCGTGGCTTAACTCTTCTCTCGGCAAAAGAGTGTTTTTTTTTTGTTTGTTTGTCTGTTTGCCTCAGCTGTCATGGATGTGAATCAGAAACCAGACCCAGAAAGCTCCTGCAGCCTGGAGGCGCTTAGCAACGCCCTGGCGCTCAGCAGCTTAATTTCTCCGAGGAGGTTTCCTTGGAAAGTTGTGTCGGCAACAAGACGAGACCAGTTTGTATCTGGGTGTGGCAACAAACAGCAAACTCACATTACGATTGGGTGACCTGACTCCTCATATTGGCTCTGTCTTGAAAGCAAAGCCCCAAAGGGCTGTAGTGTTTGTGAGCAGTCCCACCTCTGCTTATTTACTGGGTGTGTTTTCACCACAGAGTTTCGGACATATTTTACCGTGCACCTTAAAGGATTTTTTAAAGTGATAACCTTCAGTTTTAGTCCGTAGAACTTCCTAATTTTTCACTCTTTCCTACGTCAGAGCTTGCACTTTTGGATTTTAATCATTGGGGTTGTTAAGTTTACATCGTTTCTATAGTATTTCTTATGGGAAGTTAGAAACGTGACAAATAAGAGAGAATGGGTGGGGAAATGCCAGTTATATTCCAAACTACTGGAATACTGTTTTGCAGTAGTTGGATTGCGTCTCAACCGGTGACGTCATTTGGGGAAATATACTTGATGGGTTCAAAGCGTTAGGGATGAAAACACAACGTTTACCGCGGTTCAGCCCAGTGGGATGGTTAGAACACACTAGCTGTTTTCTTAAATGTGCAGTGTGATGAAAAAATAAAAACTACTTGTTTAAAAAGCTCTGTTCAGTTGTTATTAGACCAATGGATCTCCTCAACTATACGAACTATAGGAACCTAGGAATTGAAAAAGATATAATTACGAAAATGAAAAAACACAATTTTACACACAGATGGGCTACTCATTCCCACTCATTGCTCATTTTTCTGCCCATCTAGGTCACCAGGGCAGCCAAGTTATAGCAGAGACGAAGGGAAAAAGTATTATTTCAAGCAATTTTACTATATAAGAAAACATTTTAAATGGACAACAACTAAAAGTAATAAAAGCCATTGATGCTCAACAGGAGTTTTAGTTTCACAACGTTTTTGATAAGAGGGACTTCACTGGGAGAAGGCCCAGAGGAAGACCCAGGACCCGCTGGAGGGACTATGTGTCCCGGCTGGCCTGGGAACGCCTCGGGATCCCCCGGAGGAGCTGGCGGAAGTGGCCGGGGAGAGGGAAATCTGGATTTCCCTGCTCCGGCTGCTGCCCCCGCGACCCGACCCCGGATAAGCGGAGGAGAATGGATGGATGGATGGACTTCACCATAGATTTTCAACATGTCCTTTCGGTCATTGTTATTGTCTTAATGTTGGAATAACAACACCTCTCATACTACAAATACAGAAACACACGTCCTCTTTTTTAAGATAGCAAGACGTGGAAGTCTTTTACCACACAGTGATGTCACACCATCGCTCCTGGAAATGTGGAGGTGTGGCGTGTTTGTTTTCTCTTTCTTTTCAATATGTTACCACCAGCGTAGCTGCAAGTCTGCCCAACAATCCGCTGCGGGGGGAAACGATGTGCGCCTTTTGACGCGCAGCCACATGCAAAAAGGCAACCGAAACCTCTTTGTTTTGCAGAGAACATCAGACGCGGGCCACGGCTGCCTCTCGGCGGAAACGAAACCGAAACCGTTCAGGCGCGAAGCTGGAGACAGAGCGAATGAAAAACCAGGCTTTGGTCAGGGAAGCACAGAGGAAGAGGGGCCACGGCTGGCGGGCTGATGCATTCTGGGATGGTTGTGGTCAACTTTGTGCCGTGTGAAGTTTCAGAATGATAAGAAACAGCTCTTTAATATGCTCGACTGCCTTTGTGGTTGTTTTTGCGGCATAGATAGATAGATAGATAGATAGATAGATAGATAGATAGATAGATAGATAGATAGATAGATAGATAGATAGATAGACATGTCTCCCTGTTGTGTTTGGCTGGGGATGGTGTGCACTGTACTTATCACTGATCACCACTAGAGGCCGACAGACCACCGTTTTTTGTTTGTTTTTTTACACGTGTGGGATACGAACATTATTAAAAGATATGTAAGTCTGAAGAAAAAAAAAAGCTTTGTTGACAAAATGCCTCTATCATGGCATTCGACAGTGGCACGAAGGACTTGACATCAACATTTGTCCACCAATGTTCAAAAGGATGATGCTCTCTGTATTTATTTATTTTTTTGCTTATAAAGCACTTTGTAGCGTGTTCCTCAAACTAACCCTGCTGCTTGAGTTACTGTCTAGAAATGGTCAAGTGGGCTTTGTTTGATTCTGGCCTGAAGCCCCCTGAATTATAATGTCTGTTATTAGAAGCTGCTCACAATTGGCTTATCAGCTCAACATTAGACAAAGAAAGCGTCTTTTACTTGTGGAAAAACCTAGATGAGTGTCAAGTTCTTCTTCTACTTGCGCAGCTTCCCCACTTGAGAGGGGACGGATGAATTTATGCAGACTATAATCGGCAGTTTTTTACTCAAAGGACCAAGCAGTTTTCTTCATTCCATTCTC